TAAAGGGACTTTGTTTATTAACACCAAGTTCAGTCCAACCAAACTGATAAAGGTTAAATAAGAACAGTATGTAGATAGAATTACAAAGTTGATATAATTGTTAAAAAAAGGACCACTTCTGTTTAAAGATAATGAAAGTTTGTGTAGTGTTATAAAGAATAAAGATAAAGACAAGTGTTAATCTGCATCTGATTGTGAATATATATGCTGGCGAGTGTGTGGGAATAATCAAGTGAAGTTTTCCTCTATAATACCGGAATTCCTAATAGAGACACCCAAAGAGCAAAATAAAACAACACATATATATATAACAACCCTCCCGACAAGTGACATCATAAAGCAGAACATATAATAACATCCAAGACATGGCAGGTGGGAAAGTCGGGGTACTTACAGCTCTTTGGGAGATTATAAAAGGATACAGAGAGGCAAGGTCCACCATCACAGAAGGCAAATGCACATATTTAATATTTTATAATATTAAATCTGTTAATCCCCCAGGTGACCCAGTAAAGTCCTGAGAGATTAACAGATGCCTTTCATGCTACAAGAGCTACTTTTATGCCCCAGTCTGGAGGACTGCAAATATATAACTCCCCATCATGCCCACTGATTGATATGTCCGGACTCCTTGTCCTATCAAATTTCCCTCCCATGAGCTATGCAGATAAGTCAGAGAAGATGTGGGTTTCTTGTCCTCACCACTTTGCTTGGTGCAAAACTGTTCTTTTTCTATTTTTTTGTTAGATGCTGCAGACAGCTGTGCAATTGTCTGATAAAGAACGTGGACAACCTTCTGATGTCAGCAGTTTAGTACCTTGTGGAGAAGTGGTATGTAGACATTAGGTAATCAAGCTATGATTGATGGTACCTGGAGGACTGGTTGACAGTCTGTGGGTGGTCACATAGTGCAGCCTATTTTTCCATGTTTCCAACTACAAAACGGTATTAAAATATTAGGGCAGTCTTTAATGCATTTTAGTTAAGTTATTCTTTTAATTGGAACCCAAATATTATATAATTAAAGATCGGAAGGAAGTTGTTTATGTTGTAAATACAACAGGGTCTGTTTGATAGTCTCTCTTTAAGATTTTTACAAAATAAAATGTTTGAGAAACCCTTCATCAAAGTAGTTCTGCTTCACTTATGGAGACTTAATAACTATAACTATACAGTGGTGCAATTTTTGCCAAATTTTAATTACCTTATATTTTTAAGTATCATTCAGGAGAATGTTTGAAAATATTCTGTATGCCCAAAATTACGTTATTTTTTTTCATGTCACCGATACGTAAGCTTTTGCATTTTATATAAGCTTTTGCATTCTTAGCTGCAAGTTAAGGATGCTCATTGTCCAGTTTATTGATGAAAAGGTTTTTTGCATTATACGGTAGTGCAGGTTTACCCTTGCTAACCACAGGGGTTAGGTTCCTGAAAGTTCCTATGACTGGCAGAACGTCGGGACCTGGGGAGCAGGGGCTGTGAGTGAGGGGCACCAGCAAGACTGTGGGGAGGGAGGGGACAGTGAGAGGCATGAGCATGGCCGGGGAGGGGGCAGTATTTTCAGACTGTACCTTCTCCCCCCTCCCTTCTCTGAAGCATGGATACTCAAAAGCGTGGTTGTCAAGGGAAACCTGTACACAAGGCTCCTGAGGAAGATCAGGGATCTCTCTGCTAAGTGCAGTACAGGTGCAAAGGTAGCCATGGCCCCTTTCTTCAAAAAAGTATGGTCTCTTCAAAAAAGCAGCTGCCGTCTCTTTTTACACTTTCAGATCAAAACACATATCTACATATCAGATTTATGGTTTTGGTCCCTTTAAAAAGGCAATTTTGTATCACTCATCCAAAATATATGTAACTTTAAACATCCTCCAATACTTTGTTTTTAAAGCACAGTATACTTCTGCCTGAAGTGCCTGTTTGGGTTGCTTTGTCACTGTTTGCAGACTCCCCCAAGAACTAGTTTTTTCCATTTTTGTACATTGGAGCGCTCTGTTACTTTTAAAATCAGACTTCTAAGTTGCTATTGTTTCATTTTTCTCCCTCTTATTTCTGAAATTTTTGTGTGTCTTAAAAAGGCAAGAGTTTTTGTGGGTGATACCTTTTATTGGACCAACTGCATGGTTGGTATAGACTAGGAAAAGCATTTGGGTATCATAGTACCCTTCTTTGGGTCTCTGGGAGAGAAGCAGGTACAGCAGAGCTAAACAGCAGATGGAATAAGGGCTTATGTAAAATTCCTTAGGTAGGGGCCTTGTTGCATAGGACACCTAGCACATGTTTTGTCTGAGACTGTAGTAAGCATTACTATACCATATTAACAGTGAGAACATGTTCTAAACAGTTGCATGGTAATGCATACTACAATCCACACCCACCCTGGATAGGGCTGGGATTGAGTATGGCCCCATTCCCTGGGCACTAACCCTAGCATTGGTTGCCACAGCTTGTACGTCTGCCTGTGAGAACTTGCAACAGCTATACCTAGAGCCCGCACCTTTCCAGCCATGTGCCTGGCACTTTCCAGCCTGGGAGTGTCTGCCCCTAGTATGCTGGTGTGAGCCAGGTCTCTGCCACTGACAGCAGGTGGAGGGAGGCATGAGAAACCAAGCCCAGGAGAGGGTGCTGTTCATGCCACTGAATCTGCACCTGCTGCTGGATGTGCAGGGCCAGTCAGGTCTTTCAGAGTCTTGAAACAGTTGCAGTGTTGTGTCAGAGCTGAGACTGACAATGAACTGGTGTCTTGATTATTGGTCCCAGCCCTGGCATTACACTGGAGTCTTGAACTTATTATGTCTGTGGGGCAGTCCAGTGATAGCTGAATATATGTTACTTAATATAATATGGAGATAGTCCTCCTGTGAAAAATTGTAGCTTTGCTATGATACAATTGCACTTAGCACATGTTTTATTGCTTGAGCACCTGGACACTCTTGTTTTAAGTGCAGTTAACACATCCTAAATTTCATTTGTGACATGGCCCTAAATTAAAGTAGGATATAAAGGAAATTATCAAGGAGCCTACAGTCAAGAGAGAGACAGTAAAATCTGATAAATGGAAGAGCAAGATCATTCAGGAGCATTGTTATCATTTGTGAAGTGCAGAGATTGGTGAATATCAAGTGGATTATAATGGATCATGAAGTCATAGAGTCACAGAGTATAGGGCTAATAGACCTTCAGAGGTTATCTAGTTCAGCCTCCTGCCTGAGGTAGGATCATTCCTATCCAAACTATCCCTTACAAACCATATTCTAAACTTTATATAAATCATTGTGTTATGTCTTGGGTTGCTACTGTCCAATAGGCTAATAATGCATTTTTGTTTCCAGTGAAAGTGTTTTGTAATTTCCCTTAAGCATAAAAACTATGAGATTGGGAGTGATTTTTTTCTTTGAAAAATATTCTCTTACCTGTTTTCTAGTGTCTCTGTCTTTTATTTTTTTTCTGTGGTTGTTCATTCCGGTGCATAGTTTTTGATTGATTTCACCCTCAGTTTCCATGGTTGTAAGTATGGCCTTTTCAGGGAGGTGGTCAATGTTCTAGATCTTGCTGAGAGAATCTGTTGTGTCTTGTTGCTCTTTGAGTGCCAAGTTGTTTCAGGGTGGTTTCTATGAATCCTGATAACTCTTCAGTGAGGATACTGGAGTTGAATATGGTGGGACTGCCAGGGTTACCTTCACTGTGATTCTTTGGGAGCATGTAAAATGTTCCTGGCATCTGAGAGTGGGGAATTATTGGAAGTAGTTTTTTCCTGAGGTTGATGTGGAAAGGATTTAATAATGTTTTCCAATTTCAGAGTGAATACTGGTGTGGTGTCCTCCCAAAGTTCTTTATAGAAATTAGTGTCAGAAGGTTGTCTGCTAACCTCATCGATGAAGTTTTGATGACTGAGGGTGACAAAAGCTCCTTCTTTGTCTGCTGGTTTGATTGCTATTTTGTTGTTGGATTTTAGGGAATGCATGGCTTTTCTTGTTGAGGGAGAGAGGTTATGGTGGTTCTGGCTTTTGTTGAGAATTTAATAGCTTTTTCCTGAAAAATGCAGTAGTTCAGTGTATGGTTCTATCCTCTGCTTCTCTCCCAGAGACCTGGGGAAGGGTCCTGGAATACCCAAAACCTTGTCTAAGTCCAGGGTTGTCCAACTGACAGCCTGCAAGTTGCATGGAGCCTCTGAATGACTAACATGCAGCCAATGACTGCCAATGACTAACATGCACTGGTTGCCTGTTGGACAGCCCTGATTTAAATGAAGCTGAGTCAGGATTTCCCAGATTGTCTCAATGATTGAAGAAAGAAGGTTTCCCACTATGCAGGGTTGTTGAAAATGTGGGGGGGCAGGGATTTGGAACTCTTCTAGCCATTTTGTAAGACAAAGTAATACATAAGACACATTTACAAGTGATTTCCCATATTATAAGTGTCTACAAAATAGCTGATTGTCACCTTATAGAAAATTTTAATATTTTTGTGATTAATTTATTGCTTGTCCTCCTTTTGGTTCTGTTAGGTTGGTTGCTTAGCTGTTTGTGTGAAGTTATGCAAAAATTTTACATCAAAATGTATCCTTTTTCTGATTCCTTTCCTACCTTCCATCCCTGCCAGCCATGTTTTTCTCTATTTTTTCAGTGACAACACCATGAGTAACTTTGAGTAGGGGTGATATAGGTTCTTGTTATTCAGTGTAGAACAGCGGTTCCCAAACTGTGACAGATTGTGCACCACCAGTTTAAAACAATATAACGTTAAGTACCACCAGCAAATTTTTGTTATATAAAGTAATAATAATCTGTTAATGTGGACCACTGACGGTTTTCTGCGTACCACAGATTGGGAACCACTGCTGTAGAAGATAATGTTCTCTTTAGGGCTTGACACCCATTGAATATGTAAACTGAGCAGGTATTTATTGCTGAGCCAGTGTCCAATGATAGTCACTGAGTAGACTTCTTTGTTTGTTGCATGTTTTAGAAAAAGAAGACAAGTTTATGGGGCGGGGGGAACTATTTTAATTAGAAAAGCAGTGCAAAAGTATTACCTAGCTTTTATAAATCAGATTAGCGCACACGTGGCACAGAGATAAATCTTACTGAACAGTGCTGATCATTTTCATGATGCTACCATTTCTTGAAACAGTTTTATTTTTTCAGCTGTCTAGAAAGAGTTATATACTTCCTAAATCTAAGATTATTCAGTTGACGTACAGCAAAACACAAACTTGCTTCTGCGCATGACTGTTAATGGAATCATGAAATGCACGAATCCACAAATTCTCAAAGTGCACCAGAGGAGCTACTTAAAGGATGTTACAGTTAACTTTGGAGATGTGAAATATTTCTCTATACAGGTATTATAACTGCTTCTGCTTTTTAAAAAAATAACATGGTAATGCCATATATTTAGAGCTTCCTTTTTTAGGATTGGGCAGGAGGAAGAAAATTCATGAACTGTAGAATCTTCTTTATTTGTCAATGTACAAGAGAGTTTATAAAATAAAACTTCAAGGCAGGCTACAGGTTTCCACCCCGTATCTTAACTTTGAGCTGTAAATAGATATTGCGTTTGTTGTGACTCCAGGAACAAAAAGGTCACGGGATTGGCATATCCATCCATTGTTCAAAGTGGGTTTAAAGAGTGGCCTAATGCACTGCCACTCTTTCACCTACTTCAGGGGTGGGAAAATATGGCCCACGGGCCAGATGCGGCCCCCCAGGCCATTCTATCTAGCCTGCGGGGAACCTAAAAAATTTAGAAAATTAATATTTATCTGCCCCTGGATTCTGTCAAAGGCAGATAAGCAGGTAATGTTTGCTGCGGCCACCTGCGTCCCCCCTTCCCCCCCCACAGCCAGCCTGGGACCATGGGGCTGTTTGGGGCTGTGCTAGCGTGGGAAATTCAGGTAAGAGGCAGGGGAGGACTGTGAGGATCACCCAGTCCACCGGCTTGTTCCCCAGAAGCTGCTGCTTGGTGCAGAGGAAAGCAGCCTCCCCGCTTACCACCTCTGGGCAGTGTTTGCTGCAGCTGCCTGGCTGGAGCCCCCACTGTGCTAGGCTCTGATGCAGTTGCTTCGCCAGTTGCCTCTGTGCTGCCCAGTGCGGCAGCAGTGGAGCAGCTGCTGGGCAGCATTGAAGCGGTGGTGAAGCAGCTACACCACAGCCTAGTGCGGCATGGGCTCCAGGCAGCAAACACTGCCCAGTGGCAGCAAGCGGGGGGGGGCTTTCCTCTGTGCCGAGCTGCTGCTGCCGTGCCTCAGCCCTGATGGATGAGGAGCTGGTGCAGGGCCCAGGCTAGCAGTGGTGACAAAGAACGAGCAGGTGCCCAGTGCAGGGGAAAAATGGCCGCTCCCCTTCCCTGTGGCTGGCGCCCTTTGCTGCAGCCACTTGGAGCCCACTCAGGGCTGCCTCTGCCTGCTCTCCATTGCCACCGCTGCCCCATGGGGCAGCAGCGATGCAGTGGAGAGGCAGGACAGCCCCACACAGGCTGTGAGCGGCTGAAGCACAGGGTGCTGGCCACAGGGAGGGGGGCGCTTTTTCCCCGCACTGAGCACCAGCTCGTTCCCCGCAGGCAAGCGTGGGGTCAGGGCTGCGTGTTGCTCCCTGCCTGTACCATGGGGCTGGGGCAGGGGCATTGGGAGTGAATGGGTGTGCCAGCGGCAGCCAGGCAGGAGTGTGGGGCCCATGGTGGTGTCCCAGGGCCAGCACTGGTGGGGCCCAGAGCAGGGTGGCAGGAGTGTGGGGTCCCAGCCAGCAGGGGCTCTATGGAGCCAGGCCAGCTCTCCCCTCTCCCTGATGCTGCAGCTCAGCCCAGCTCCACAGACCCCTGCCAGCCCACACTCCAACTGCTCCACTCTGGGCCCCACCAGCGCTGCCCCGGGGACATTGATGCAGGCCCCACGCTCCTGCCCGCTTCCACTCCTTGCGCCCGCCCCACCCCCGCCACTTTCCTGCCTGGCCACTCTGCACTACATGGCTCCCATACCTACATCTATACCCACACACACACATCCACGCATCCCTGTAAACCCCCATGTGCAGTCACTTCTGTATATATACCGCAAATCAGGAAAATAAATATTTTTTTTAAATTAAATTAAAATATATTTTTATGGGTGTTTGATTTTTAGTATGTTGTTTGTTTGTTTTTCCCCAAGATGTCAAACCCTCTTCCTTAACGGAGTACTTCCAGTGGAAAAGGTTAGAGGTTAGGGGCAGGACTTCCCCTAGGTGCCCTCTTCCCAAGGTGGTGACCAGGGGGCGGGGCACCTGTCAAGGGGCAGGGCTACACATGCAGCCCTTGGCAGCTTGCCAAAACTCGGTAAGGGGCCCTCTGCCCAAAATAATTGCCTGCCCCTCATCTCCTTAGTAGGTGGCCTTAGAAAGCACACGTACATATCAGTATGCCTGGCATTGGTCAAGTGTCCATAGGTTCCCCTGACTTTGCTTGTGTCGGGTAATTTTTCCATTGGCTGTTCAATGGCATGGCAGAATTCGGAGGGATTTTGGAGTGTTTCACTATGCAGCTCAAGCCCCTTATCACCAGCTTGACTTTCCACTGCATTTTTCCTGCCTTCCACCACTGACTGTGACCCAAATCTTCCACTGTTGTTGGCTGCTGTGGATCTGTACATGGTCATTACTAGGGATGTACCGGCTTGACAATTGTGTGATTTTTGTGGAAAATGCAAAATTGGGTGGGCTCCGTGAAAAATGGTAGGCTCTGCAATTTCAGTGGGCTCACTGCAAAAAAACCCAAAATACTGACCGGCATGCAGAGAAAAGGGTGGGAAGCCCTGCAGTCTTGGAGCACAGGGGACGAAGGAGGGAGGACAGAGAAGGGGGCAGGGGGAGGCTGCTCGCAGCAGGAGGCAGGGAGGCTACAGGCAGCTGTACCAGAATCCTGGGCTGGCTGTAGTAGGTAGCTGAGATGCTGCATCAGGGTCTATGGGGCCCTAGCTCAGCTTGTGTACGTGCACCCACTGCTGGCAGCAAGCCAAGTCGGGCTCTGTGGACCCTGGTGCAGCCTCCTGGCTACCTGCCACAGTCAGCCGGGGACCCCGGTGCCGCTGCTTATGTAGCCTCCCTGCTTGGGGATGACTTGAAACCAATGGCTTAATTACCTTGTTTAAGCCCAGGGAAGACATTAATCCACATGTTATTAAGTGTGGATTAATGGCTTCCATGGACTTAACCAGGGTAATTAAGCTGCCATTTCAGGCTATCTGGTAGTCTGGGGGGAGGGGTGGGACTGCTGCTGCCCCTTGGTCAGAGGCATGGTGGGCCCCTCCATACTCAGCCCATGAAAATGGCAGCTGGCCTCAGGATCTGCCTGTGAAATTGACCACTTTAGTCGTCATCATCATGCAGACTTTGCTGATCCAGCATTGTGAACTTGTGAGGGAGACTAAGCAGAAAAGGTGACATTGGCAGGCTATGCTGGATGCCATAGCTACTTTTATTGGTACTGAGAACAACAAAGCAGTATTTGCATGGGAGAATTTTGTGTGCTCGCTGCTAAAGAATGGAGGGTCTGTGGTTGTGTCTGGAACCTAGCCCTCAATAGCAGCTGCCTCCCTGAAAATCTTTTAGGTGCAGGTTGGCATAGTGTGCTCAGGCAGGTGTGGAATGACTCCAAACCATGGAGTGGCATTTCTGGGACAAGGAGAGAAGCAGCAACTGCTAGCAGTGGATCATCATGGCCACTAGAGACACAAGGAGTGGCATACGAATTTCGTCATGTCCAGGGCACCTTCGTGGAGATCTGCGCCAGGTTTGCCTTACATATACAAGCAGCAGACAATGATGATGACAGTGACCTTGTCTGTGGAGAAGCACATTGCCATTGCCATATGGAAGCTTGCAATACCAGACACCCTCTCATTCATAGCGTACCATTTCAGGGTTGGGAAGTCAATGGCTGGAGATGCAGTATGGGAGGTATGTCTGATGATCCAGTGAGTGATGGCCCCTTACATCATATGTCTTGCTGACCTACAGGAGGTCATGGATGGGTTTGCCAGTCTGGGGTTTCCCAACTGCTTTGGGGCTGCCAACAGCACAAGCATTGCCATCCTTTCCTGTGTGCTATGGCTAGGAAGTCATCAGTTGGAAGGGCTACTTCTTGATCATGCTTCAAGCAGTTTTGGACCTCCATGCCAGTTTCATGCATCCAAATGCTAGCTGGTCAGGCAGGGTGCACAACACCAGGTTATTTAGGAGCTTCTTCCTCCCTAAACTGATGGAGCAGAGAGAGTTTGTGGCATGGGAGTGACTGGACTCCTGCTACAGTCAGGTACCTAATAGGCAGCCTAGTCTGGGTTTCTGCTTAGAGGTCTGCCTGGCATCCCCATTTTAGCTAATGATTCCAGCAGGTCACTGTTAGGGGCTCTTGATTGGCTGCTAGCAGGGGGGCAGCTTCTACTTAACTCAGCTTGTAACTTAGACCCTACCCCTGGTTTCCCCATTGGATCTGGTAACCTGGTATCTGACTCTTGAAGTTTGAGTTGGTCTGTGTTTTGGACTCTGGCCCTCAGGTGGCTTAACCATGGTCAGACCACCTGTGATCTGGTCCTTATGGCTACTAATCGTCAGGCACACTATATACACATTGAACGCCTGGCTGATGTAGCTGTTCATTGCATGCGCAGAAGGAACTGTTCAACTACAAGCTCAGCAGCTGTGGGATGGCTTGAGGTGCCTGAGGACATGTATAGATGCCAACAAACACAGTGTACCCTGGTTTGTGGTCTCAGCATGCATGTAGCACAACACCTGCAAGGCCAAGGGGGAGTCTATGCCCACGCCCTTGTCCTGCCACTTGAGGCTGTGCTGGGGGCAATGTTGGCAAATAAAAACCTAGGATTCCGGACTAGCCTAGGGATTGACATTATGCCTCATTCAATGAGTGACAGAAAGGTTTTATTTACTACAAGTATTCAAAGTCAAATGAGCGCAAACCAAAGTAAAGTCCAGTAATTAGCTATAGCGTGGTGATTTCTCACCAAACAAGCGACATGAGCGATGATCTGTTTCTTTGAGCTTCTCAAGATAGCTGGGGCACAGCAGCAGTTGGTGTCAGATGAGATTTCTCACTCTTGAAGCACTTGCTGTTAGCTGTTTCACTGCTTTTGTATATCCTTAGTCCAGCATTGTCAAAGCATTATTTTAGTTTTATAAATCAAGAGAGAGAGAGTCCGAAGCAGTAATTGACAGGAAAATCCTGTTAATCAAACTGCTTATTATTGGTTACTAGAAAGTTCTAATTTGAATGAATTACTTTCCTTAGTGACAAGAGGTTATCCATTTCTACTATATTTGGAACATATTAAGAAACTGATTCACAAAAAGGAAA